AAAAGACACAGGAAAGAAAGAAAAGGCCATGTGCCTGACTGAACTGCTAGAAAAAGCAAGCCCGAGTTTCAAATGCAATTACAAACTGGGGCCCTTACTAAACTGCAATTGAAACCCGGGCCCTGACTAAACTGCAATTGAAACTCGGGCCCTCACTAAACTGCTAAAACGCAGTTTCAAATGCAATTACAAACTGTAACACTGACTGCGCCGTAGTGTTCTCTTTTTGTATTTTTTGCCATTTCAAACACAAGGAGTGGCAAAATTGCGGGTACCTGTCTTTTCTACCCATTTCAAACTACAAATGTGATCTCTATTACATATTTCCCAATTTCAACGGAAAGGCGGGGGTTAAGTCCCATACGCAGGTGTTAAGACTAGGTATAGAGCACACACACCTTTCTGTCAAATGGTCTCAAACTGAGCATCTCACAGCCACACCACACTGTGGCCACCCTGAAAATAATGAAGAATTATCCCTCGCTACTGTCTTCACCCGAATAGAACGCCCGGTCATTATTGCTGTATTTGGTGCAACTTTCAGTCCAGATACGGCAATAATTACCAGGTGTTCTGCTCGGGTGAAGACGGTAGTGAGACTTGGCTGAAGACGGTAGTGAGACTTGGCTGAAGACGGTAGTGAGACTTGGCTGATTTGTACGTTCAAGGTGTTAGTTTTTGGGAGAAGTTTGTCATGGCTAGTAAGGGAAGCGTGACCAATTTTTTAGCTTAGCGGAAGTGGGGAAAAGTAGGGCCTTTCTCAAACTTTAGCTAGGCTGGAAGATTGGTCCTGCAGCCCTTACTAGCCACGACAAACTTCTCCTTAAAAGGAACAACTTGAAAGTCCTACAATCTATTGCTGTGTTAAATCACCAGTATATCCGCTAAAGCAGATTGGGCCTCTCCTAACGAATCAGAGGCCATGAACCGCTGGTCCATTCTATGGATGGTCCATGGACTCCAAATTTTCAGGAGAGACTTAATGTGCTTTTTCGTTTTCTTTTTTTTCTTTTTTTTTGGTAGCCCTTGGACGGAGCCAAGGGCCGTAACGGTTAAAAATTGTTGCAAACTGCTCAGTGTGCTCAGCCCACGGTATTCTTTAGTAAAAGGCGAAAGAATAGTACGCCAAGTGAGCTGGGCACGCAGCTGAATTAATCTGCTTTTTTGGATGTACTAGTGGTTTAACCAAAGAAAAAACAAAGCGAAAGTACAACAGCTACTGTCTACTGCTAAATCCACGTAGAAGGTCAGGTTTGACTAAATGTCTCAGCGAAGCTGAACCCGATTTCAAAACAGGTGTTGCTCCCCACCAATAGATGGAGCCTTCCCCCCCAGAGCTCACTTCAAGGGGATGCTCTTATCATCCCTTCTTCCCAACCACAAGGACATTTGAGCCTCTTTTTGCCGAGGAGGAATTTCTGTGCGCGCCACGAATAGCCAAAACACAAGCCGAAGTTTTGTTTTTCTTTTGGCTGGCGCCAGTTTTGTTTTTCTTTTGGCTGGCGCCACCATTTATTTTGGTCCGGTAGCAGTATTCAATGGTATTCATCCATTTTTTTGGAATGAGTCATTTTCAATTTTAAAGTTTGCCTGGACAGTGTACTTGCAGCTTAAAGTGTGCACACTGGGATTGGAAGTTCAAAAGAAAAAGAAGACGAAGAAAAAAAAAATCAAGTCAAAAAGCCCTTGGGGACAAGCTTTAGACCACTATTACAAAATTCTTTCAAAATTCTATGTAAAAAAAAAAAAAAAAAAAAAAAAAATCCTCTTTTGTAAGACGGGATTCTTGCTGCACTCCAAGCTTTGCCGAAAAAGCGTCAAGTCAGCATAATTTTTGTTTTAATTTTGATTTATTACATCTCACGGCCACACAGTGGCCACGTGAAAAACCACTGAAAAGAAAGACCAAACCCCCGCCACGGCAGTGGGACTGAACACGCAGCTTCGAATCCTTAGCCCTGAACCCCACAGGACAAAATCGTGGAAAAGTCCTGGAAAAGAAGGCCTGGAAAAACTTTTCCGGGACCCCACAGGAAGAAAATGGCCGTCTGGAAACTCGATTGTGGGAGGTTCCGGCTGTTTTCGGAGACCCCACCGCGTCGGAAAGGTTGTCCGGAAAAGTGGAGTTCCGTGTTTTCACTTTCGTATAGTGGTGTCGTGGCGGCAAGAGAGCATCTTGCGCCGGAATTTCGTGCCATTTCGTTAGGTTAGGGAGGGGGCATCTCTCTCTTGGAAACTTCTTCTGGAAAGTGCTGGTCCAACAGTGGTCCGAGCCTGCACGTCCCGTGGTCCTTCCGGTCGGTAGACGGATTTTCTGTTGTCACCCACAAACGACTCCCCGCCAGGAAGTCTGCTGAAGGGACACCCACGAAGTGATCTGTCGACGCAGGGGCGGACATCCATGACCACCACGCGGTCCATTTGCAGTTTCCAGACTTTCCAAGCTCCTGGAAACTGCGTTTTCCAGCCTCTCCGGTGGGGTCCCGCCTTTCCACAGGCGAACTTTTCCAGCCGGGTTTCCATGGAAACCCAAAGTTGGAAACATTTCTGGGGTTTTTCCTGTGGGGTCCAGGCCTTATTCCCTACCCATGTTCTTCCATGCCGTTTCTTCTCCGATTGACACGTGGAACAGAGAAAGCTTCGGCCGACTTATCGTTTCCACGTGTAGTAATAATCAGACTGCAAATAATTGGTGTCTATCAAAATAACAACCTACACCAGAGCAAAAACAAGAATAAAGTGAGGCCCACCCTGTACTACCGGTAGGCCGAAGGTGAAATACTAATATCGGCCTACCGGTCCCCCCTACTTTACGACGTGGGGGGAACCGGTGGTTTAAGAGAATTCTGGAAAAGAAGAGGAGGTTACTAGGCGATTTTCTGAGGCAGTCCCAGCCAGTGCAGTCACCCTGAACGTGACCAACACCGGTCACTTGAACATGAACAGCCAGTCATTTGGCCCTGCGTCTGTGAACGGGCAGACCGCAAAAGAGTGTTTTTTTTTTTTTTTAGGGGGGGGGGGGTTGGGGGTTGGGGGGGAACCAGCTACAGTCGCCTAAAAAAAAAAAAAAAAAAAAAAAAAAGCTGCCGTCGCCTCAAGCCCCACAGGGTGATGACATCAAAAAAGTAAAAAAAATCGAAATAACTTACAAAATAACAAAAAAAAATGCTTATTTTGGCTCGTTGCATTTTTTTTCCATTTTTTTTTTTCAAAAATATTATTCATAAAATATATGTATATATATATATATATATATTGTCCTCTTCTCTCTCTCTGCCTACGGTTTACCGGGCAGTTCTGTTTGTGACTATATATATATGGGGAGTTACCCTCCCTTAACCCCCACCATCCTATAAAAAACAAAACACCCTCCCCAGCCAAAAAAAAAAAAAAAAAACCATCCCGCTCTCTGTGAACTCCATGAACTCCTACATCCTGAACTCCATGAACTCCATGACCAGTTTTCGTTTCTTTGAACGGGTACGGCACTGGTCCCAGCTCCTCTTGTCATCCTGTCTACCCTTCCACGTACACAAACCTGCTCACAACTGCAGTAACTGCTAAACAAAAACTTAAAAATATTAAATGACGTAGCATAACTATGGCCGCTCCATCTACACTGACGTTGGCCCTAAATACAACCATAGCCGCCAGATGTTCTACGTGGGGGACGGGGGTAGTACCAACGAACACCTCCAATCCCAAGAAGAGCGACGGAGCTCGCACAGTCCACCAAGTGACAGATCGGCTTCTTTAGGAAAACAATCCAGAACGCCGTTTCCCTGCGCCACAGAACTCCAGCCGGACGATCTCCATTCCAGCTAAAATGACGTTTTGAGCACGTGATCTGTTGCGGAACTTGCGGGTGAATCTCCTCCTCCCGCTTCGGGCATCCTGAATCTCCCTAATTGCAGTCCGATACGTCCGAGTGTGTGAGTACGCTTCGAATCTCGTCCTCGCCTCGTGCGCACAACTTTCTCCGCATGTAACCGAACTCCGAATGTGCTGCCGGAGCCTTAGAGTACGCAGTGGCTGCCCTTCTGGATTCTCGAGCACCAACACTGCGCGCCGATTCTTTCCTCGTCAGCTTCTAAACGCTGCAGCCTTTCTCGTCTGACTCGTCCGGGCAGTCGCGTTTGCCATCGCAATGGCGTCCGGTGACACACCACTTGCCGTAGCACTTGACTTGGCCTTCGGGGCATTTGTACCGCCTGCAGAACCCATGCCTCTCGTCACTCCCATCAGCGCAGTCCACCTTCTTGTCACAATAACCCCCATTTATGTACTCCGTGATATTGCTCCTGCAACTGACGCGACCGACAGCAGCCAGCTGGTTGCGTGTTTGCTCTGAACTGCAAAACTCCGGCTTCTCGTCCTCGTCCCCATAGCAGTCCCCGGCACGGCCGTTGCACAGGCTAGTGGCGTACGTGCACCACACGTACTCCCATCCCGGGCACTTTACCATAGCTGCTGCTGCAGCTGAGGAGCAGTCGTGCTGCTTGCGGCAGAAGGCCGGATCTTCATCCGATTTGTCCGGGCAGTCCTTGAGTCCATCGCAGAGAGATCTTGGGCTGATGCAAGTGACCCCGTCCTTGCATTTGACCTCCCCTTCGGAGCAGTTGTATGTGCGACAGAGGCTGGGGTCCTCGTCGGACCCGTCCCTGCACTGCTTCACACCGTCGCACAGCTTGAAAGAAGCGCACCCGCACTGCTTTTCGTCCGTTCCCGCCGGGCAGTCCTCCACTCCGTCGCACACTTGACTCCCCAGGATGCACATCCGGTTTCTCCCACCCGCACACTTGACCCTACCCGACGGACAGTCCATCTTCTCGCAGAACTTCCCTTTGTCATCGCCGTCGGGACAATCCTTCCTACCGTCGCACACAAGCTGGCGACTGATGCATCTGCCGCTCAAGCATTGAAACAAGTCGGAGTTACTAGAAGGGGAGCATCCGCGCTTCTTGCAGTACTCGTCGCTCTCGTCGCTTCCGCCATCGCCAACGCAATTGACAACTCCGTCGCACAGCTGACTCTCGGTTAAACACCCGCCCTTTCCGCCGGGACAACGTCTTCTTGGGCACGGTGGTCCACTGCTTCCAGCAGGCGGATACAGTGGCGTGTGCGGCACGTCCCTGTTGCAGTCGTACGAAGCGCAGAAGCGGGCGTCCTCGTCTGATCCGTCTGTATAGTGTTTCGTACCGTCGCACAGGAAACCACTGTACGGATCCACGTAGTAACATTGTCGGGCCATTGACAGGCCACTCTTTGCTGTGACGTTCATGCACATCCTCCCACTCGGACACTTGTAGCGATGCACAGCAGTGCAGTCAAAGGACTTGCATCTATCTATACCCGCATCCGACCCGTCAGCGCAGTCCTCCACGCCGTCGCACTCTTGCTCCGTTTTGATGCACTGCTTGATGCCGCTCATGCACCTCTTGAACCCGCGGAAGCAGTAAAACCTGTGCCGCCCATCCTTCAAGCCATTCACCTTGTCCGGTAGCGATGACTTGGCTCCTGCAGGAAACTGGGCAAAGGTGCAGCTGTCCGCATCAAGAAAGAGGAACAGGATTGCCATGCCGAGCCATGATCGTGAGAGAAGAACGATGTCCACTCTCTTCCTGCCCATCAGGGGAGAAGAGGAGGAGGAGGACCTCGTCATTGCTGGCGCAACAGCGCCTCTTCTGAGCCCTCGGTAGGATACGAAGAAGCAGTAGGTAGGCACAGTTTGAATGCCACACGGAGGAAGGAGAACCGACAACAACCGGTAGGCGCAGTTAGGATGCCACACGGAGGAAGGAGAACCGAGAACAATCGGCGATGGCAGCTATGGCAGGAACGAGGGCACACGACAACGGCAGTGGCAGCGGTGGTGGAGGAGGGAGCCAGGCAGGGAAGTGACGAGCATTGAGTGAGATTAAAGAACGGTGCGCGATAGGAGAAGAAGAGGAGGGGGAAGGGAGAGAGAAGAGAGCACGGGGGAAGAATGACGCGGGAAATAAGGAGGAGGAAGCTCGCATGTGCGGCGCCGAAAACAAGAGAAAAAGGCACCAAAACAGTTACAGCTTGCCTATGTCCTAAACGAATTTAAAAATTGAAATCACCATATCCGCGCGCGAAGGTCGACGCGGGAAAAAAAAGTCCTATGCCTATCCGTATTCCCACAAAATTCCTAGAGTTTTCTCCGACGTGACCGAGAACATTTATGCACAAAAAAGGACACGTCGGGTTCCGCTAATTCCGGAATTCGTAACTGTCGAGCCCGATTCCTAGTGCGCTCGCTAAGGCGCACGCAATTTCCCATGCATTTCCCGAATTACAAAAAGCAGAATTCCAAGAATCAATAGAACCTCCGAAAAATGGGGGCCCAAACAAGGCACCTGAAATCAAAGAAAGCGACGGGGGCTTTGTTGGGCCAGTATGATACAAAAGAAAGAATTGAGTCAAGGGGTACAAAAGATAGCACGGGGTCGGGAAGTGGTTCGTCACAGGCAGGCGAGCAAGACTGCTCTAGATGACTTTGTCCGACGGCGCCCTAACTGCTCATGAAATGTAATTTCACGAGCGACAAGGCAAGAGTAGTGCAGCGGCGACAACTCTTGACATTTGCAAGAGTAACGTCTGACAGCTCTTGATGCGTTTTCCGACGGCCCAATTCATGAGTAAGTGCAACTATGCACACCTCATGAAAAAACACATTTCATGAGAAGTGCAGCGAGGCCCTCACTCTCGACGTTTTCGAGAGTGAATCTTTTCCTTCCTTTTTTTTTAATTTTTTTTTTTATTGGGGAGCAACACGTGCTGGGAACTGGGCCCAGCGTCCCATATAGAATTATACAGATGCTTCGAGAAATGATTTGAGATACCAGGGCCATTACCTGGCATTCGGCTGAGAAAATCAAAACAAATGTAGGAACAATTTGTTTCCTGCCTACTATTCCTGGCAACCCCTTACTCTTCGTCATCTCCCGACGAGCCGACCTCCTCCACCACATAGTTCGGAAAACAAGAAACAGTAGACAATCAGCCTCACCAAATCCCCTGATGGATTAAGGGTGGACTTCAACTTTCCTTCTCCCTTCGACGAACCGACCTCCTCCACCACATAGTTCGAAGAGAGAGAAGAAGGTAATCAGTCCAAGATTCTAAACAAATCTGAGAACAATTAGCTGCCTACCTGCTATGCCTTGAAACCCCCTACTCTTCCTCATCTCCCGACGAGCCGACCTCCTCCACCACATAGTTCGGAAGATAAGAAACAGCAGACAATCAACCTCCCAAAACCCATATGGTTAAGGATGGACTTCAATTTTTCATCTCCCTTCGACGAGCTGACCTCCTCCACCACATAGTTCGAAGAGAGAGAAGATAATTAAAGTCCAATCAAAGAATTGAGCGAAATTATCAGATCGTTTTTTGACGACGCCGTAAAAAGGATACGCTTCCATTGATCACAACTCAAACCAATCCATACCCACTATACCCTGTCTCATGCTGCCTCCACCGAGGAAAATCCCTCGGCCCCAACATAGAACAGATCCCCTCCCCTCTCTCCACCACGTCCGCAACGGCAACCAATCCCCTCCTAGAGGCTGCCTTTGCCCGCCCCTTATCCCTGTCTGCCCCCGCTGGGGTTGAAGGCGACCAACTCTCCAACCCTAGCCCCAGACTCAGACAATCCCCAATCTGCCCTACTCCCAATAGGGCTGCTGCCTCCCACCATGCAATTCCCCTGTAGAATAAGGCTCCCCTATGACAGACCCCAGGGTTAATTTTTCGGGCACAGCTAACTAGTAGTCTATACCCACAACTGGCCAGCCCTATCTCTCCTTCCCCTAGCTTGCCCACGGCCAGGCGAAGCCCAGGCTGACAGTCCTACCGTCCTTCCCCTGGCTTGTCCCCTAACTTAGTCCAGGCGGATCTCAGACCTGCTGTGGGTAACTACCGTATACCTGTACCCTGGAGTCTCAAAACCCCCTGCCCACCAAAGTTCCAGCCATAACCTCCGAAGTCCTATCCCCGCTAAAGCGTCTGCAAAATTCAATGTTCGAAAAACAATCCCAACATGAAAACGTTGTGTCTGAAATTACTACTACAAATAGTCGTAATCAGGAAGTAAGTAATCAAGAAGTAGGTGATCGGAATATAGGTAATCAAGATATAGGTAATCCAGATGTAGGTAATCAAGATATAGCTAATCAGGATGTCAACATTAATGACTATTGGATACTTGGGTAGCCGAAAACGGTACCCTGAGACTGAAAGGTTTTCAGATAATATTAGTATTGATGATGGTAGTGATGATGATGGAAGTGTTATGGATGACAATTTGAGTGAAGCAGCAGCCTAGCGATAGTAGTGGCGATCAACTTCGCCTACAGATGAATTACAACTAATGAAAAATTTTCGAGAGTGAATCTGACAGCTCTTGAATGGAAATTCAGCATGCAGCGTCAAGAGTTAGTGCAGCTGCACTACTCTTGAAATGCACAAAAGACAAAAATCATGTCGCTGTATCTTTCCATGTTCTAGCGGAAGATTCACTCTCGTTTTGCACCTTTCAAGAGTAGTGCAGCGAGGCCCGAACTCTTGATTTCTCAAGATTCAAGAGCAGTGCAGCGAGGCCCTGCGCCAGCTCGTTCTGATGATCGGGGCAGGAGGCACACTCGCGAAAAAGAGGCCCGAGCCGCGGTAGGAGGGAGGACACTACCGGTACGAAACGCGAGCGGTGCAGGCTGTGAACTCTACACATGGAGAGTGCCCTTCGAGAGCACTTTCTGAGGGCCTACTCACACTAGCACTATCGTAAATGCATCTGACCGTATTTACAGCTGGGCCTGTATGCATGTGCCGGCCATTCCGTCCAGAAATAAGTTAAAAGGTGCTAGTGTGGGCATGCCCTGACAGCTCTCGAAGGGCGTTGTCGTGAGTTCCAGTCTAGAGTAAGGGCCTCGCCACACAACTCATTTTCAAGAGTTGCTGCGTGGCCACACAACCTCTTGAAACTTGGGGCTTTTGAGAGCTGTTAGAGTGCCTTTTAAAACCCTTTCAAGAGCAGCTCTTGAAAGATTTGAAACCCCAACCTGCAACTTGTGTGTTTTCAAGAGTCCTTGGCCGAACCCTTGAGGGACTTTCGATTTTCAAGAGTCATCAGGCCATTTTCCTGACGCCATTCCGAAAAAACAAAGCTATAAGACTCTCTTTTTTGCATCCTTTGTCCAGCACCATCGCCCTTTCAGGGACTCGCCAGAGTTGTCAGACTTTTTCAAGAGTCCGGTTTTCGAGAGTTGAGGCCCCTTTGCTGCACAGCGCTCGCCAAACCTTGACTCTTGAGAACCGGCTTTGTGGTCTGGCCCTTCCAAGAGTGCTGTGTGGCGAACACGGCTACTCTTGAACATTCCAACGAGTGACTGCCGAACTGACCTGGTCTAGTGGGAGTGCGCGCGGCCAAGAGATTGTCGAGGTTGATCGTGAGTCAACTCTTGAAAAACGCCCGGCAGAGCACACTGGGGTGTCAGGGTAACGGCCTGACACCTCTTGAAAACCAAGGGTGCTTAGAGTGCCCTTGCGAGGACGTTGAAAGGAGAGATGTTGCAGTCTGGGGATTTCGATGTTTCGAGACCTACTCTTGAAGCCAAGGTCTGACACGTCTTGAAAGAGTTTTTGCCAAAAAAACTTTCAAGAGGCTGTGTGGGGGAGCCTCCGACTCTTGAAAACAAGGTTTCAAGAGTGGTGCGGCGAGGCCCTCAAGAGTGCTGTGTGGCGAGGCGCCCAAAAATCTTGAAACGTAACTCTTGAAAACGTATGACAGCTCTTGAAACATTCCCCCTTTTCAAGAGTGGTGTGGTGAGGCCCGAAGTGGAGCGAGGCGTTACTCTCTAGAGTAGTGCAGCGAGGCCCTAAATCTTCCTCTAGAACATGGGAAGAAACACCGCCGTATTTTTCGTCTTTTTTGCATGTGGCAAGTAGTGGAAAGAGGCCGAGAACATTGGCCCCTCATCGGAGAGAGAGGCGGCCAAGAAATTAGCTTAGGGTGTACTCACACCAGCTGTATCTCAAATGTATCTGACGGCATTCACGGCCATACCTGCATGTATGCGGCCGAAATTCTGTCCAAAAATACGTAAATAAGTCTTAGTGTGAGTATGCCCTTAGTCATGGGCTTCCTAATGTAGTCACCCCATAGAGAGAGAGAACTCCAAGAAATTAGCATACCTTTTTCCCCCGAACACAAGGTACTGAAAGAAGCTCCAAATACAGCTATAATGACTGTACGTTGTATTCGGGGGAAGAGGGTAGTCATGGGCTTCTGAGTGCAGTCACCCAAATAGTTCGTGGAGATGTGCGGTTGAGAAAACTCGACGAGATTTCTGCATATATCCACACATACATCCAGATTCAGGCGTTGAGGAAACTCAACGCTGCTAGTGGGACCTGACCCCCGGTCAGATGGCGAGGCCCCAAATCTGACACCCCACCACAGCGGATTCGTGTCCGGATTCGTGCATAATTTTATTTTTTTTCACATTTGTCTCGAGGTCGGGGACCTCACAATTCAACCCGGAGTTATCCCGGCATCAGCCGGTTCAGCTTCAATGTCTGTGAATAGGTACCACTCTCCTACCTCTGACAGGAATCACTCTACTAAACACACAGGGTCTGTACGAGCCTCCCGCGGCTCAGCTGCTACCTACAG